ATCATACTCTTCACAACAGCAACGGTGATGAGTGGCGAAGTCGTCCAGGTCGTAGGCGACAAGAGGAGGTGCACTACTAGAGTAGATGGCATCATACTCTTCACAACAGCAACGGTTGATGAGTGGCGAAGTCGTCCAGGTCGTAGGCGACAAGAGGAGGTGCACTACTAGAGTAGATGGCATCATACTCTTCACAACAGCAAGGGTCGAGGGGTGGCGAGGTCGTCCAGGTCGTAGGCGACAAGAGGAGGTGCACTACTAGAGTAGATGGCATCATACTCTTCACAACAGCAACGGTTGATGAGTGGCGAAGTCGTCCAGGTCGTAGGCGACAAGAGGAGGTGCACTACTAGAGTAGATGGCATCATACTCTTCACAACAGCAACGGTCGATGAGTGGCGAAGTCGTCCAGGTCGTAGGCGACAAGAGGAGGTGCACTACTAGAGTAGATGGCATCATACTCTTCACAACAGCAACGGTTGATGAGTGGCGAAGTCGTCCAGGTCGTAGGCGACAAGAGGAGGTGCACTACTAGAGTAGATGGCATCATACTCTTCACAACAGCAACGGTTGATGAGTGGCGAAGTCGTCGAGGTCGTAGGCGACAAGAGGAGGTGATTTCGTGATTACTGAGTTTTCAGTAGGAAGGGCAACAAGATTCAAACCAACAAGGTCTGAAACATTGACGAACATTGGAACCCCGAAACACCTTCAAAAATGGAACATGCAGTGAATCTCCAGCACTTGACGGTGGGCCTGCGAAACATTGCCAGGTTGGTCTCCACGAATCCTTGCCTGAGAGCGTCCAGGCTTTTTTGGATCCGAACCCTAGCCAACCCTAGAAGATCTTTTCCAAACTTTAAGCCCCTAAGCCCTTACAGCCCTACACCCCCATAAACCCCAACACTCGAAACCCTCCTCTTTGAGACCCTGGTTCTGCGGGCACCGGCCTAAACCCAGACGCACGTTGGACTTTGGAGCTAGAGTTTACGCTTCAGGGTTTAGGGTTCAATTCAGGGTCTACTACCCGGAGGTGAAGCTGGATGAAGGAATATGCCAGACATCGGACTGGGGATCCCCATTTAAGGTAAAGTTTCAAGGGTTCTGCAATGGTTCGTATCTGGGTTCTGTCGGCGCTTTATAAAAGGCTTCAAGGTTCTATCGTGGCCTTAGAAGGGCTCTAGAAGGGCCCGATAACGTTCTACACCGGAAGTTACCAGGGCCGAAATAATCTCGGGATCGCTTGTTGTTGAAACTACAAAATGTCTTGCCTCAAGGCCCAAACCCCTGAAGCCAAAACTGACAGCATTTGGGCTTGAGGCCCAAAGAGTTCGCCTAGAAGTGGCAAGCCGTGACATAGGCGCTGAAACCCACCCTATAGCCTGTAACCCAAGCTAAACCCGCACTATCCCTAAAGCCGTAAGCTTAAACCCCTAAAGACCTGAGGGCTCAAGCCCCGTGGTCTTCACGAACGATGCCTGAACACAGTAAACATGTACACTTCCGGACAAGCCCGATGAACAAGTCAACAGACATCTCAGAAACTTTATGTTCAGACACCTATTTAAAATAGCATTGCTAGACATCTTACAAATCATGCTTTACACCTTGTACTACACCGACAAACATCTTCTAAACCCTGCTCTGAGAAAGCTTGTAGACTTGCCTAGCCATCTTATAAACCCTGCTTTACACCTTGAATGTTCAAACACCTGCCCTAAACCTTAAGCCCTACAGTACACCCCCTCCTTGCCAAGCGCCCAGCTTTGGAGGAGCCCAAACGGCGGCACGACAAGGAGAGGCTCCAGGCAGCTCCGGCCAGACGCTACGGAAAGCTCTCTTGCGGGGCTTGGTGTTCAGAGTTCAGGGTTCAGGTTTTGCTTTTAAGGGCCCCTCTTCGATGGTTTAGGGCTTCGGGTTGAAGTTTCGGTTATTGGGTTAGAGTCGGGGCTTGGGGCCTCGAGTACCACCGTCTGGCAGTCTCTGGTGTGGTCGGAAAGTCGGCCTGGAAACCCTTGCCAGAACCAATCCCCAAAGGAAGCGAAGCCAGCCAAACATCGGCCCCTACGAACTGGCAAGCCTGAACCTTCAAACCCCTCAACTCTAAAACCTGCACCCCTTACAACTGTAATTCTGGAAACCTCCCCCACCCTGAAATGTCAACCCGGAATCCCCAACCCTAAACTCGAAACCCTGAAGCCGTAACCGGAAGCTCCAAACTCCCGCACCCCCCAGTCTGTTTGAGCGTCGCTGGGCGCAGCTGCCACGACTTCGCTGAAAAATTGCAAGGGCACGGAAAACCGAATAGTTAGGTTTCGGTTGGCGCCGAAACCTTGCCGAAGCACTAAAAGACATGACACCGAAGAGCATGTGGGAAAAAACCTAATGATTAGATTTTTTCCCACATGCTCTTCGGTGTCATGTCTTTGAGTGCTTCGGCAAGGTTTCGTCGCCAACCGAAACCTAATCTAATCGAGAGGTGAAAAAGCTACAACAGCCCGGAGATGTACAATACAAGGACACAGCCTGTACAGTTCGCAAGCTGGGGCGCTGCACAGTGAAGCATTTAGCACGTCGCGACTACAGCATGTGTCTCCAGACATTGGGTGATGCCCTTCCGGGCTCCTCTCATAGGAAACTTAAAATTTATGAAAACAAGTAAGCTGCAGGCGCCAAATAAACTTCATTACAAGTTACAAGTATGACAGGCTTTTGCAGTACAGATGTCGCACATGCGACTAGGCAGGCAAATTAGCGTCTGCTGGTTCTTTGCCATCGCCGAGCCCTGCTGCCCAGGTTTCCGCTCCTTCACCGCACGCACTGATCCTCAGTGTGCTTGCCGGGGTTGTTTTCTGGTTTGGGGGCTTGCGAGCAGGAGTGCCTTGCGCTGCCCTTCCCGCCTGCTCCCGGCTCGCCCCGCCCAGGTTTCGACTTCTTCTTGGACCTTCCTGCGCCCGGGCCTCGACTTTGCAGTTCAGGGTCTTTTCGGATTTTTCTGTGGGGTTTCGGGGTTTTGTCCGCGCGTGCGCCTCTGTGTCTGCAGCCCTGGTGCGCCCCCCCCCTCCTTGCCCGTAACTAAAGTGCCCTGCGGCCCGCCCCGTCCCGGGAACCCCGGGCCCCTCTCTCCTGTGGCCAGGCCTATTCGAGCGAGCAACACACCACAAACCACAGCAACTGTCAGCCGGATAGTGTGACAGCTGCCACTGCTGCAGCCTGTGATCCGCTACGAGACGCCTAAATCGTAGCCTAAACCCTAGACCCAAGACCCCGGCCCGCCGAAACCCACACCTGAGCCCCTGAAGCCTCCAGAACGTGCACCCATCTCTGCCTCCTGAGGTTTATAGGGTTTAGGATTTAGGGCTTAGTATTGATGTGGTTTAGGGTTTAAGATATTGATAGGGTTTAGTGTTTAGGGTTCCGATTTATCCTGTGCCAGATTGCTTTGACAACGCCTTCGAAGATGGCACTCAAACTTCCCGACCCGAATAAGCACATCTTGAGATAAGACAATGCTCTCATCAAGGCGAAAAAGGGCCCTAAACCCTGGACCCTGAACCCTAAAGCCTAAACACTAAACCCTAAAGCCTAAACCTCTCTGGGTCTCCGGCTCAGTGCCGAGTGGTCTTGCCTTCAGCGCATCGACGTCCCAGGAGCGACAAGGCAACAAGAACGGCTTAGGCTACAGGGGGTGGGGTTTAGGGCTTATAGAGTTTAGGTGAAGGTTTTTCGGTCGGGGCCTCAAATGATTACCTGTACCATTTTGGGGTGTTCCTTCTAATGGGCCTCAAAACCCAGATTAAAGCCGATCCCGTCAACTTGACCAACGATGAGATGCTCCGGAGGTCCAAATGATGCCCCAGCGCCCTCAGTAGGTCACTACAGGGTCACTACAACCAACAAAGCTGGGTCGGGGAAGCGGCCCTAAACCCCAAGTCCAAAACTCTGGATCTCGGCGCTAGGCGAAGAAGGCAGCAACGAGAGCTGAGCGGTTTGGGGTGTGACAGGCTACCTAGTCGAAAGAGGGACGTGCCTAGAGGGTTCGAAAACTTCGGGTTACCTAGGAAGCCTTAAAGGGTTAGGGAATCCCGGCTTTGGGGCTGGAAGAGAACATCAGCAGCGAAGCAAGATAGGATGAGCTGACGTCGAACACGCGCTGAGATTCAGACTGCGGCACCCCCGGCAGCGATGAGCTCAAAACCTGAAGACCCTCAAAAGTACGACAGTCACAAAACCCTGCACTTCAAAAGTCTAAAAAGCTCCGCAGCTGAGCATCGCGACACAAAGGCTGGAGTCTGCTCGAAAAAGACGATGTAAGCTGAGCGTGAAGCGAAGCTGGATTGCCCGGATGCGACGCTCACAGACCAGCATGACTGGCGCACATCAGAAAAAACTGTCTTGCCCAAAACCTTGACAGCGCTCCACCCCTTTCTGAGGATCGGCGTGTGGAAGACTGTCGATGACCTGAGCAAGGGTAGGAGTCAAGACGGCTCGCGGAGGAGGTCACTACGGCAGTCACTACGGGTCACTACGGGTCACTGCGGCTCGCCGTGGAGGTCACTGCAGGTCACCATGGCACACTATGGCACTACGGGATACTACAACCAAGGTCGCAGGGAGGGTTTAGGATTTTGTTTTTTTTATCAGCCCCTTTTCCTCCTGCCCGGTTTGGTTAGTCGGAATTCCTATCAGGACGAGGCGGTGTGGTTGTGCCGACTTCTGTCACGGGATACCACCACCACCAAATTTCCCCCATCCTAGGGTTACAACATAGACACCTCCCGCTCGACAGCAGTTCAAGCACAAAATCACAGCATTTGGCACACAGGCGTACCCGCATCTACCTGATCCCGCAGCACACAGTCCGCTTAGCAAATACCACCAAGATTACACTCGGGGATCCTAAGTCTCACTCTCTTGCGGTCCAGGTAGGCATAGGTTCGGATTAGGGTTTAGGAGTTTAGGGTTCTAGACCTATTATACCCCCAGATTCTTTAGAGGGCTCACATCTCCGCAAGGAGCTCTTGGACCTTGCTGCTGTCCCCGCCCTTTGTCTTGCGTCCCCAGGAGACCACCGAGCCATCGGAGAGGATTGCAACAAAAGAATAGGCAGTAGACTGAACCTGGGTCACGTTCGCGAGCAGGTCCTGGACTGCGCTGCTGTCGCCACCCGATTCCTTGTCGCCCCAGGTGACAACCCTTCCATCTGAGCGGATGGCGGCAAAAGCAGATCTTGTTGACTGAATCGCTCGCACATCTTTGAGTTGGCCTTGAACTCCGCTGCTGTCGCCCCCATAATTTTCATGGCCCCATGTAACGACCCTTCCATCTGCGCGAATCGCAGCAAACGCAGCGTGCATATCGTACGTGGTGGCTTGGATGTACTGCACGTTGAACAGTTGGTCTTGCACAGCACTGCAGTCGCCGCCGAAGAGGCGGTCCCCCCAAGCTGCGACTGAGCCATCGGCCATGATCGCCGCAAAGGCCTTGGCAGTGGCCTGAACCTGAACCACTTTTTGGAGTTTGGGGGGGGGGCTGTCACCCGAGTTCTTGCCCCAAGTGACAAGCTCGCCGTCTGCACAGATGGCCGCAAAAGCCTCGCGGGTCGCCTGAATCTGAGTCACATTCCTGAGCTGATCCTGCACTGCGCTGCTGTTGCCTCCGCCTGCGGTATCACCCCATGTGACCACTGATCCATCTGCTCTTAGGGCTGCAAAAGCCCACTTGTTCTTCTGAATCGAGCGCACATCATGGAGCTGATCTTGAACTCCACTGCTGTCACCACCCCTCTCGCGGCCCGCCTCGTGTGCCCAGGTCACAACGGTCCCATCGGCTCGAATAGCCGCGAAAGCATACTCGTTGGCCTGAACTTGCTGCACATCACGGAGCTGCTCGCGAACTTGACGGCTATCGGCTCCAAGCCAGGAGCTCCCCCAGGTCACCACACTCCCATCTTCCCGTATGCCAGCGAAGGCCATGCCATTTGCCTGGATCTTTTGTATCTGGGTGAGCTGATCCGCCACCTTTTTTGCAGAACTCACGACGTCGGAATCACCCCATGTGACCACGGTGCCGTCTGCCCGAATAGCCGCAAAACTGCCGTCAGCGCACGCCTGAATTTCACTGATGTTCCGAAGTTGCTTCTGCACCTTGTCGCAGTCTCCTCCTGAGCCCCGGTCGCCCCAAGTGACCACGCTGTTCCCACCTCCGCAAAAGCACGCCACGGCAGCACCGGTCGTCTGCACATACACGGGCTGAGCAATGGCAGTGACCTGGTCTTCGCTGGAAAGCTGCTGCCCTCGAGGAAGTAGCTGGCCGTCAGAGGCAGCAAGCCTCAACCGACCCTGGAGCCCAAGAGCTCTCCGAGCTGCGGCTTCAAGATCGCTGACGGTGGAGCCTGGTGGCATCGAGACGGCTTCGCATCTTCCGCTCGGCAGTAGGACATCCACCATCACTGAGCCATCTCCGGCAGAATCCTTGGTCCCGGCTCCGGTCGCTCCTGCTCCGACGGCGACTCCCAGCAGTGCCAGAGCTTCCTTCAGCTTCTCCTGCTCGGTGAAAGGCAGCTGTGCTGCCAGCTCACGCAGCTCTGCAGGCGAGGCCTCTGCGACTTGAGCCGCTGCCGCTGTTGAGGCACCAGCACCCATGGCCGTGGGCCGTGGCCAAGCCACGAAGACAAATGCCTGATGGCTCCGGTGCCTACGCTGTTCCCAGCTTGCTAACAGTGCTGTTTGCACCAATGCCTCGCAGTGCTTTCCAGCTGCTATCGCTTGGACACTCGAAGCTAAAGCCAAAATGGCTACTAGCTTTATCCAAAGGATTTCAGGGTTTTGGGTTTTGGGACTGTCAAAGTGCCGGGTTTTGTGGGTCAAATGTAGTCTCGCTTGTTGACCCACAAAAGTTGCGCAGCCTGGGCGAGCATCATGAGCATCAGCGGCTTCTTCGCGGGGACGGGGGGCTAGCATCCATTATGAGCATCAGTGGGTTTCAAAGGGTGCGGTTTTGTCAGGGAGCCCAACAAAACCCCGAAAGCCTCTGAGGAAAGCGACGCGACAGTGAGGCGAACCATACAATCCGAGAGCGGTGGCTGCGGCGTTCCACGCGGATGCCATGCACAAAGATGCTACGTGAGTCGCACACAACAGTCAAAAAGACCGTCTAGCTCAAAACCCCAGCACTCCAACCTTGCTGAGGATCGGCGAGGGGAGGACCGCGTCGATGACCTGAGCACGGTTTGCAGAGGGGGTCACTACGCGGGTCACTACGGGTTCACTACGGGGTCACTACAGGGTCATTACGGGTCACGGTCACTACGGGCCACTATTGCTACAGCAGCTCTCCCCAAAACCCCGACAAGCCTGAACAAATCCCTGAAGCATCCCTCACCTCACAGCAACTGGGCACAAAACAGGATTCAAGATGAAGTCCGAGTCGATGTTCGGACGACTCAGAGTTCCGGGAGGGCGTTGGGAACATGAAGCAAGAGGAAGGGGCTAGGAAGTGAGGGAGCAGACGACGCGTCCTACGGGTCAAAGCGCCAACAAAGTCCTACAAGCCTACGGCACGCTCCAGCACTGCTACGACGACCTACGACACTACCATCCTACCGGCACTCCAACGCCCGTCTACCTGCGATCTGGGGCTCCCACCAATGTCCCGTCCCAACCCTTCCGACCCTGCCACTACGGCGTTGCTTCGGGTGTGTGTGTGTGTGTGCAACTCCTGTATCCAAGGATTCTGAATCGGTAAAGCATTGGCATCATTGTGTTGTATATGAAGAAAAGCAGGGGGCTGGCAGCTCATTCCGTGATGCCAGCCAACGAAGCTAGCGGAATGGGTGGAAGGAGCTATGGACGTATAGCTCTGTACCTGCAAAAGTTTCACTCGAAGATCTTCTACACAATTTATATCTTTAGCTTGAGGCCTAAACATTCAATTGTATTTTTCATCTAATGAGCTGTGATCTTCTTGACAACAACTTTAACGAAGAAGTTTTCCGAGGCCTTGAGGTTCGAACCTTAGAGTAATATGATCATTGACTTTCCAAGAAGTCAAGGAGACCAAAGAAAGAGATTGGAGGGATGGATAAAGGCAACCGGCGAAGACCGGATCAACATGTGTGTCGTTCGGCTGGTGATTCTGAGTTAAACTGTAAGACCTGAGCGTTCACACTTTTCCTGCTTAAGCCAAAGGCGCTGCATAGTCATTCTATACATTTCATATGCCGTAGCCTAGGCTCACCAAAGGTGTGGGCGTTCTATGTACAAATCTTAACACCCTGCCTCGAAGTCCTTGTGCTGTACTTGGGCAACGGTCCGCGGTCGGGCAAACCTCCTGCCCTGGCTGCATAGGCTTTGCCTTCACAGCTCCTGGGTTAAACAGTCCGTGCAACCCACCTTTTACCTTCCCCCAATTATGGGGTTTGTCAGACCGTCCATGTCCTGACGTTCGTACAGTAACAAGTACTTCGTCCTAGTGAAACAACTTACACCAAACTAGCACCAGCGCTCTTCCTTCTTTTGAGCTTTCGCTGTTGCGTTCCAAGGGTGAAACTTTTCTTTCTGTTTCCGGCCTACACTCACTGCTGCTCCTCAACGGTGGTCTCCGCGTAGGTCTTACGGATATACAGGTGGTCCCATAGTACGCATTTCCGTACTACTCTGTCCTTCACAGTAGTCTTCATATGTTGCCAGGCATTCGCCTTCCATGACCGTTTCTCCGATCTCTTCCATGGTCATCATCTTTCCACGGAATTCCATCACTTCCGGATTTTCTTCCTGGGTCATTCCTGAGATGACTCTACTTCCACCCTGGTAGTCTTCCTCACTTATGATGGGCATCCTTACTCCATCAGTGTGTACGATATCCGGCGTTCCCATCGCTGCTTTTCCACGCTTTCTCAGCGCTCCTTTTCCTGTGCTCCTGCGCTGCACTCCGGCATTCCATCCATGATCTCCGGATCCACGCGCTTCATCCGATTCTTCCTTTTCCTTTGGGAGGTTCCTTTCTTTGGTCGTAGTCCATCCCCCACTTCTTCGTCGCGTACTCCGAGACACAAGGTGTACAGGCGCACCAAGTATGATCCTGCTTTGAGTGCATTTCCTTACTCCGCACCAGTAGCATTTCTTTGCACATCCTCCGGTCGACTCCACGGCATACTCCATGACTTCCCAACAGTCATCGCTTTCTTGTACTTGAGGTTCCATACGTCCTCCACGTCTTTTACGTTGGCTCCCTTCAGGACGGGTTTCCGGATAGCATAGGCGAAATCCTTCTGCCAAGTCCATACACCAAATCCAACATCCGCGTTACCTTCTTCCACAGCATGATGAAGTATGGGGTTGACAACAACAGAATGCATACGATCATCCCAACTTCAAACTTCGTGAAGTTTCCTTCCATGCTTTCCGTCCTGTTTCCAAGGGATACAGTAGTCGGTTTCATTTTGTTTGGCGTGGGCGGGCCTCAAAGACAGCAGGTTGCTGCACTCGGTCCCAGTAATAACTACAATAATGCCAAGAACAAACTCAACTGTACAAAAGAAAAGACGATGCATAACAAGGTGAGACAGGCCGCGACTAGCAGACTTAGCCGGCAGACGTCGTTCGGCAAGACATGCCCAGAGCCTAGCAACTACCACCCCGCTCAGATGCCCCGCTTCGCAGTCGGACTGAGTCGCGCAATGGCACATAAATTGCCCAGCATCCAAAGGCACTTGGCCCAGCTTCCCAAAGAGGGCCTCGCAAGGGCAAGACGGAGGGGCGCTTGGTGAAGAGGAATGCGCCCAAGCACCCATACAGAAGCGGAGAGCGTGCCGCAGTGGCAAGTGCATGAGCACGTTAATTCAAGCCCAGCTTCCCAACAATGTGGGCCTCGCAAGGGCAGATACTCTGATTTTCGCACTATGACAGCAGGTCAGGCAGCACTGGGCAGGGGCCATGCTGGACAATCAGCAGCGTGCAGGGCGCCACGCGTACCAAACCCAGCTTCCCACACGTGGGTCTCGCAAGGGCAGAGAAAAAACAGGCAGCAACCACACCGAGCACCATATTATAAAGAGGCAAGTTCGGCCCAGAGCTGCTCAGTGAGTGCGCCCACGCCCAGCTTCCCACCATGGTGGGCCTCGCAAGGGCAAGGGCCAATCGGAGCAAGAGGAATCCCGGCAAGGTAGGAAGAAAACCGGCAGCGGAGATCGCAGGCGTGTAATGGGGAGCTCACCCAAGGGCTCCATGGGAAAGTAAAGCAATCTCGCCAAACCAAGCCATCCCACAGCCCAGGGTTGCATTGCAGTTAGGGCCAACTGAATGGCCTCGGCACGAAAGAAGTCAGAGCCCTCGTATAGTGCGATGACAATCCGACAGGCAAGATCAACTGGAAGTTGGTCGCGACCCAGACTCCTCTGAAAGTGTGCTGCGCCAAGAAGGCAGAGACTCGGGTTTGGTACTCAGCAAACTGCTGTCGAAGAGCCAGGCCAGCTGCCCGTCGCTCATGCGGGTCAGTTGCAGACAGCAACTGCCGAGTGGCATCCGACGGTGGGGCACAGAAGAGCACCTGCAGCGACACCAGATTCTCAGGAAGCGTGGCCATGGCTTGTAACCTAACCTGTGCTCCGAGAACGATGCGGCTGCGAGGATGCAACGCACGTGCCAAGCAAGATGACCTCATGCACAAGCGCAGCTTCACACCAAGCAAGCCCCGCAAGGGCAAAGAGCACGCCGCCGTGCTGAAGGTCGTGTCAAGCAGGTCGCCATGGACCGCATCGCTGCATAAACAGAGACAGGGGCAGCTCGTCGACCAATTGAGAACCGGCCGCCCCTGGCGGCCGGCCCCTGACCAGAGCCACACGGGGACCAGCCCAGCTTCCACCAATGTGGGGCTCGGGCAATTGCGATCCCAGAGCAGTCACATCCACTTACAGACACAGCCCATCAGTGATAGCACCGTTCCACGAGACGACCTGAACATGTCCAATGTAAGTGCAGATAGCTGCGGCTCGGCAATTTCGAGCGTATCTATTTACAGGGCGCTCGACCGGCGCCAGGACCTTGGCGAGTGGACTTTTTTATACACTCTCCATAATGCCCATTTTCGGCGGATTCTGTTCAAGCATCCCTTTTATCACTGTGTTGCCGCAGCATTTGGGCTGATTCGCACTGACTAGCAATGGCCGCGCTTTCCCAAAAATCTCATGGTGCAGGCCCTGCAGGATCTCTCTGGGCATTACCCACAGTTGATCTTTTTTTTTGGCGTGGGCGGGCCCCAAAGACAGCAGTTGCTGCACTCGGTCCCAGTAAGAACTACAAGAACTACAAGAATGAAAAGAAAGAGAGAAAATGCACACTAAGGTGAAACGGGCTGCGACTTGCAGACTTCGCCGGCAGGCATCGTTCAGCCCTGGTCATGTTTCAAGTGCAAAAGCCGCACAGAAGCCATTCTTCCAGACAGATTGGGT